TCAGGGAGGCTTGTTAACAACTTTTTTCTGATCCTCCAACTCCTTCCTTTCCATGACTTCACTCCTATAATAAATTCCCTACTGTAGTCTTCGTAGTGGTTCTGTTTCCCTGATGGGACCCTGACTATTATGATTATTGGTTATTTCACTAATCTAGTGCTGTGGACCAAAGCATTTTAAAAATGGTTAAAAAAACAGCCATTTAGTGGCTTGAAAAACAACCATTTTATTTTCTCCATGATTCTTTTGGTTGACTGGACTTAAATGGGAAGTTCCTTTGTTGGTCATGCTTGAAGTCTAGTGACTGCAAATAGAATTATCTTGAGGCTTGACTGGGAAGCAGAGATAGGCCTCTTTCATTCTCCATATGGTCTCAGAATCTCTTCCATAGTCTGTCCATCACTATAGCTGAAATTTGTACATGGACGCTCAGGGTTCCCAATAACCCAAAAATGGAAGCTTTCATCATTTATGCTACATTTTATTAATTAAAGCAAGTCATTGGACCAGCCCAGATCCAATGTGAAGGGTGACTACACAAGGTCATGTTGTATAACAGTAATAATAGGAGTTGTGGATCTTTAGGAATCATTTGGAGACTAGCTGTGTACTTTTCTGTCTAGCCTACAATAGGCCTGGCTCCCTTCACTGTTCCTTTGAGCTATACTCTTCCTAGTCCCTTTTTGTACTGGTATCATAGTGTGTGTTCATCAGGCACTGTGATTTGGGTCCCACCATTTACACATGCTGTATTAGGTCAATCTGGCCTGCAACACCAGCCGTTACAAGTAGCATAAGTAGGAGCATGGGAAGGTAGTTCCCTTGGTCTTGGCTAAGCAGCTGAGATTGGGAATGTATACTGCCCCTCAGTAGTACAGCTTGGGCAGACCCCTGCGGGCACGTGGTTAGTTTGTGACACTGCTGACTCATCACCTCAAGGGGCAGCAGCCAGTGCACGGCTGGTGGTGTGGGCTTTTTTCCTTTCAGGAATCCTACAGTCATCTGAGTCTCTGGAATTGTTAAGGTGCTGTCCTCCTCCACATAGGGCTGCCTCTCTTCCTTTACTGGGACAGCTTAGAATTATTTTCTATGTCTAGATTCCCTGCTAGGAGTGATGGCCCTAAAGTTCCCTTTTCAAACCTGGTAACTTTTCCTGATAAACTGGATTGCTATTGGACCATGAATAGTGCCACGTGGCTATATTGGAAAGCCCATGCAAAGATTTCCTACTATAGGTGCTATGACTAGTTTATCCTAGAATACAGCAAGGGCTGGCTTTGTGGACATGAGACCTGTGCATTTGCACAGAGCATGGGTCTGGTTCAAAGCTTTGCTGTTGGCCTCTTGAAATTCTTAACTTTTGAACAGGGGCCCCTCATTTTCATTTTGCTCTGTACCCTGTAAATTATGTAGCCTATCCTGACGACAACA